CTAATGGATAACCTCAACCTGCCTGCTATTTAGAATCCGGAATCTCTTTGCAGAGTCTGTTTTTCAGAAACATGGCAGTCTCTATGAAGGTGTAGAATATATCCCTGGCGCGTCACATTCTTCTTCTTCTTCATATGCCATCTCCCATGTCCCTTTCCTGTCCTTTGTAGCTATTAACAAATATTGTCTTTCTGTTATTTCTCCTAAACCATATTCCGCCGTCCATTTACTCATGCGCACTTGCCGTCGTTTTCCTCTGTTCCTCCTTCTCGCAATCTGCCCTGTGAGTATCAGATTTTCACAGCCTTCTTTCCTCATTACGTACCTTAGATATTTCAAATGTATCTTCCTGATGCTAAGTATAAGTGTCATTTTCGTTTTCATTTTCTCTAAAGCTTCGTCATTTCTCAAACGTTCGGTCCATGGTATCCTCAGCATCCTTCTGTAGAACCCCATTTCTGTTGCTTCAATTCTCTTCCTCATCTTTGAGGAGATTGTCCGGCACTCACTGCCATATAAGAGGACTGGTATCATATAACAGTTCAGTACTCTTTTCTTTGTTTCTAATGAAGTACAGGGTGGTCCGAAAGTCTTGTCACCCCTATATAATATAATTTTTTATTTCAGATAAGAGCCATGAAAATGATGATGTTCATACAGACCTTCTCGATGTGTGACAGCATCAATGAAAGCGAATAAACTGAATCCAGTACATGTGATCTGTATTACAGGATTACTTATTCTTTTATAGTTCTTTTGGTAGTGGTTGACAAGACTTTCGAACCACCCTATATCTTTTTATCTATCTAAAGCTATTTTAATCCACAGGGTGGTCCGAAACTCTTGTTACCCCGTAGATAATATAATTTTCTATTTCAGATGGCTGACACGAGCTCCTACACGAAAATGATGGCGTCCATAGACCTTCTTGAGGCGTGAATAGCATCAATGAAAGGAAATCAACTGAATCTCGAACATGTGTCGATTAGTTGTTCTTTTATTGTTGTCATTACGTTTCAGGTAGGAGGTAACAAGACTTTCGGACCACCTTGCACTTAAATTCCTAAGGTCATCCTATTTTTTAGTAATTTATAAAATTCATAAATTTGATTAATTTATTTATATTTTTATGGTTTATCAGCCTTTTTCAAATTATTTAAAACCAGAAAATATTTTTCGATGATAATTTTGTTTTAGATGTTAATGATTTAGTGATATAATGTGTCACCCATCGAGGTATGATTATTTTAATCTATTCACCCAAAGTAAGACAATAATATCAGTAAGATGTAAAGGATTTCCTGGAGTGAAAGAGGATGAAAAAGAGAATGAAAAGGAATCAGAAAGCCAATTCTAAACAGGAAACAAGGGATAAACCTCTACTCCTGTTCAAAAGACTAGGGAGGACTGTGAACTGGACGATAGTCAAATCTGTCTATGTTAGAAGTATAGAATCGAAGTAGACTTTAGAAAGAATTGGAAAGCCAATCCTAAACAGGAAACATTGAATAAGTATCTACTCCTGTTCAAAAGATCAGGGAGGAGTGTGAACTGGACGATAGTCGAACCTGTCTACTATGTTAGAAGTATAGAGTCGAAGTAGACTTTAGAAAGAAAATGAAGGAAAAATGCGACGACAATTTACCCATCGCACTATATATATATATATATATATATATATATATATATATATATATATATATATATATATATATATTTTGTCTTTGTCTTATATGTGTCTTTCTAGAGGGTGGTGCAAAAGTCTTGTCACCGTGCATAAAATCATTTTCTATTTTAGTTAGCTAACACGAAAATGAGGTTCATACAAACCTTCTCGATGTATGACAGCGTCAATGAAAGTGAATCAAGTGAATCAACTGAATCCAGTACATGTGCTTTGTATTACTGTACTACTCGTTGTTCTATTGTTTCCGTTACAGTTTAGTAGGGGGTGACAAGTCTTTCCGGCCAACCTATATGCTCTTTGGCGAATCGTTAATATAAACCAGAGACAGGGTAGCGCCGAGAAGAGAACTTTCTAACTCCAACCTTACATAATCTATTGAAGGTTGCCCTAAATGAATTTGACGGCCACCAATAGACTCTAGGAACATCTACCCTAAAATCTTATGACACAACCCACTATGTATATTATAATGAATCGGTATCAAATAAAACATGCGGTTCCTCATATACCGATTGTCATTCTGTTATAGAGTAGTTTCACAGTGGAGGCTTGTATTTCACTAAGTCGGTCCTAAAAAGGTTCGACGTACAAAACGTTAGGAACTTGATATAAGAGTTAATGACGCAGCAATCTAGTTGTGGTGGCTGATACTTTAATGTCCGACATCGACTGACTGAGCAACTGACTACTTATTATAGGTGGGAGAGTCTATTAACAATAGAATAGGTGTGTTCCAGTATAACACATTCTGATCAATATTGTAAGATTATCTCCAACCTTATATAAACTATTGAAGATTGTCCTAATTGAATTTAACATGACCGATCTACAGGGTGGTCCGAAAGTCTTGTCACATGCGTAATATAATTTTCAGATGGTGTTCATACAGATCTTCTCGATGTGTGACAGCGTCAATGAAAGTGAATCAACTGAATCCAGTATATGTGCTTTGTACTAATGCATTACTTGGTTTTCTATTAGTCCCGTTGCTTTTTGGTAGAGGGGTGACAAGAATTTCGGACCACCCTGTATTTTTGTTTCTGCAGATTAATCTTTGACATATCCCGATGCCCTTTCAGATGTCAGTGCTGCACTTTCCGTCTTCTGTCAAAATATTTAAATTTTTTGTGGTGTCCAGCAAAGAGACAATGACAATGATTCTTCAATGATCCTATAATGACATAAGTAGAATGTGACTCAGACAGCAGACAATAAATTTACAGGACACATGCGTACATTTAAAAGGGGAATACTATAATCACCAAAGTAGACTGTGTTGAGGATTAGCTTTAAAATAATTGGATCATTTCTGTTTATTTTTCTTGTGTTGATTTCTGTGCTTCTATGATCAAACCTTTTGTAATTAAAGAAGAAAAGGCATTACTTTTTGACCGATCATCGTAATATGATTTAAAAAGAAGCAGACCATTTTGATGACAAGAGTTGGAATCCTGAGACAATTCTGATCATTCTGGTATACTTTCTGTGCTTCGATTATTGAATCTATTGCAATTAAAAAAGAAAAGACATTAATTTGTGACTGACCATTTTACCAGGATTTTCAATCTTGGAGACAATGTTAAAATCTAGATTTGCAGTCCTGAGATTTTTGTGTTCATGTTGTTAGATTTGCTGTGTTTCTGTTATTAATTTTAATCTAATTAAAAACGAACAGGCATTAATTTCTGACTGACCATTTTACCAGGATTTTCAATGAAGGTGACGAAGTTAAAATCTAGATTTGCAATCCTGGGATTTTTGTGTTCATGATGGCAGACTTGAAATGTTTCTATTCTTAAATCTATTCTAATTAAAAACGAACAGGCATTCCTTTGGTGCATGTGTTTGTGTAACTATTCCTGTTTTATCTTTTTAAATTTTAAATTTTCTTAAACAGTGAAATTAATAGCACCCGGCCTAGATCCATAAGTCTTACTAAAGAAAAATTACATGTCGACAGTTTTTAAGGGGTTTTCTCGCTCTAAGCAGGTTATTAATTTCGCTGTAAGATAGAAATAAGGCAGTTATAGCAACTCAAACACGTATACGACCCAAAAATAATGTTTAAATGATTAAATAATGAGGGATTAGAAACATTTCTTAGATATTTAAATTAACAATGTCGTACGAGAAATGACAAAATAAGAAGACTAAGTTGAAATAGAGATTTAAAAACCTGAGACTTTTGTGTTCAGTTTTTAGTAGTTTTGGTGTGTTTCTATGGTTAAATCGATTGCATTTAAATAACAAGAGACATTTATTTTGTGACTGACGCATACAAGAATTCATAAGGAAAGAGACGATCTTGAATACCAGATTTAGAATTCTGAAACTTTTGTATTCATTTTGGCGTGATCTGCGTGCTTCTCTGATTAAATCTATTGTAATGAAAAACGAACGAATATTATTTTGTCACTGACCGTCGGACAAAGATTAACAAGGAAGAAAACTATTTTGAAGACTATATCCAGGATCCTGACACTTTTGTGTTTATTTTCGCAGGCTTTTTGTGCTTCGTTTAGTAAAATCTATTGTAATTAAAAATCAGCAGACCTTACATTATGACTGATCGCCGTAACAGGTTTAACAAAGACGGAGTCTATCTTACAGACTATATTTGGAATCTTGAGACTTTGTATTCATTTTGGCGTGATTCAGTTTGGCAGGCTTTTTATGTCTCTACTATTAAATCTATTGTAATTAAAAACCAACAGATCTTACATTATACTTGACATCCGTAACAGGTTTAACAAGGAAGGAGTCTATTTTGTAAACTTTAACTCCATTTTCGTATGCTTTGTATGTTTCTAGTGTTAAATCTCTAGTAATTAACGAAGAACAGCCATTTCTTTTTAATCGATCATTGTACCACCTTTAAGTAGGAATGAGATGATGTTGAGGACTAAATTTGGAATCCTGGGAATATCATGTTCATTTTTTTCGTCTTTGTTTGCATCTACTGTTTTAATAAAGTAACAAGCCTTACTTGAGTATTGACGCATACCACGATAAGAAAGTCATAAAAGTAAGATTTCATTTTGAATGCTGAAGCTTTCGTGGTTATTTCTGTGGAGCACTATGAGTTTCTACTATTCAAGCTGTTGTGGTTAAAAGAGAACATAGATTACTTTTCGAGTGACCCTCGAATTAATACGATAAAATCACAATTTTACTAATGCAGTTTTATCATAATCATTGGTTTTTAGTTTAAATTCTCTTCAAATTTCTTTTATCTTTTATTTCTTTATTTCCAAATTATTATTTTTTTTTTAACCTGTTTTCTTTTATTTTTTATTCTTTTCACGAAATATGCTCATAAGATGCGTTTGATCTTTTTACAGATTTCCGAAGTCCCTTTTCGAAACATGTGACTTGTGGCGGCGTAAAGAAGAATATTAATCACGAATGTTAAATAATACAGAAACTGCATTAAATGCTGAGCGATCTCTAAGGGTCGATTTAGGCCCGACGATAGAAAATGTACGCTGATGAGAGCGTAAAACCGGTTGGCGTGGCTCGGCAGAACGAGCATTAGGAAGACGCTAGACACGATCACCAGAGACTTAGTCAGTTTCATTTGTGTCTTGCTGAGGGATGTGTGGTGTGCGCTCGTTCTCGGCTGAAGCTCCTGCAGCCAGTGACTACGTCTCTTGACGTCACGAACAGCAAATATGATCCGTAGGTTCATAACGAGAATTGCTGTAAACGGCACGATAAATGTGGCGACGGTGTCAACGTAAGTCATGATGGTCAAAAAGATGAAGAATTCGGCTCTCATCTCGCACATTCCTTGACGGTCGAATGTTGTCCAGAAGCTGTGTGAATAGAGCAACATCGCCAGAACACTGATAATCACCGTCGATAAACGGGCGCGTTTTTTGGTGCACAACTGCAGGGCCTTCAGTGGATAGCAGACAGCGATATACCGTTCTATCATGAATAGAACGACAAACCACACGGAGAGGAAGCTAAACACGTAAGTGCTGAACACGATGATCTGACACCAAGGGTAAGAAACGACACTGGAAATACCGGCCTGCTGTAGCCAAGTGAAGAAAAGAAGGATCAAGAAACCGGTGTCTGTGATGGCGAGGGCTGCCATGTACGTGCTTGAGGGCAGCTTGTTCATCGTACTGCTACAGCTAAACACAACAAAAGACAACATGTTTCCTGGGATGCCAAGAACAATAAAGGCCGGTAGAGCGTACACGTGAAGCATCTGGACAATATGCATAAAATGGTCAGTTTTGACAACCGACGACCAGTTTGAAGAAATGTTGTATTGTTCATCCATTGCTGCAATGAGTGTTTGAATAACTGGAAGTTGAAGAAATTAAAAAAAGTCAGGTAAAAGCGACTTTGAATTTGTCGTAACCCTTCCTCATGTCGTCACAGGATGAAAAACGTTTTGTTATTATTCTTCATATTACTGGAAGATAGAGAATTGGTTTAGTCATCCATTACCTGAAAGAATAAAAAAAGAAAAATGTTTGTCTTTTATTTTTGTGTTAATGAGATATTTCGAATTGATACATTTATTTACATTGTTCGGGCTGTTGACCTCATCTTTATTGTCATGTCCACGACGTTTCGGCGGTTGTATGCTCTGGTCTTCTTCAGGTGATAGGAATTTCGAATTGAACCCTTTATTTCATCCACCGGGGTAGACTGTTCTAGTTACCCGTGACACGCCTCGAAATTCCAATCATGAAGAAGGTCGAAGTGTACATCGGCCGAAACGACTTGAACATGACAATAAAGATTAGGACAACAGTGCAAAAAAAGTAAATAATATAAACAGTTACAATAATTCATCTCAGAAATACAGACATATCCTGAAGAAGGTCGGAGCGTACAACGGCCGAAAAGTCGTGAACATGACGATAAAGATGAGGACAACGATAGAAACATTGTAGATAGTATAAATAATTTCAATACCTCATTTCAGAAATATAGAACTATCCTGAAGAATACCGGAGCGTACAACGGCCGAAACGTCGTGAACTAAAGGTGAGAACAACAGTTTGAACAATGTAGATAATGTAAATAGTTACAATACTTCATCTCAGAAATATAAACATATTTTGAAGAAGGCCGGAGCGTACAACGGTTGAAACGTCGTGAACATGACGATAAAGATGACAACAGTGTGAACAATGTAGATAATGTAAATAGTTACAATAACTCATCTCAGAAATATCCTGAAGAAGACCAAAGCGTACAACGACCGGAATGTCGTGAACATGACCATAAAAATGCGGACAATAGACAGATATTTTAATTTTATGTTAATTAAAAAATACCAAATGATATATGGATTCATTTCCCGAAAGAAAAAAATAGTTGTCTTATTTTTCTTACTGACAGATGATCTCGGACTGATGAAGTCAATTGCCAATACAAGCTAGGCTATTTTACCGCGGCTGTGGGCACTTCGTCGTGGTATAGTTGTTACCAAGCTCGTCTCGTTAGATCAATTACGATAGAATAGTGAATTCGATCCTCACTGTGTGTCCCATAATTCCGGCTCTAATCTACGCTTAGAAAAACGTTTGGGCATTTCAACGTGGTGTAAGGGTTAGAAAGCTTGTCTCGCTAGATTAATTACGACTGAATAGTGAGTTCGATCCTCACTGTGTGTCCCATAATTTCGGCCTTGTTCCACATCTGAGCTATGTTTAGTAAATCCCTCTACCGCTTTTTTTTCAATCGAAACATAACTAGAAATAACTGCGCAGTGCTTAAAATAAGACAAGAAATTTCAAAACTTGGACTGAGGAATATTAACAAGATACTCCGTAAATTAAATAAAGGTATCGGATCGAAATACCGATAGATGTCTGAAGAAGGTCACAAGGCACAATAGCCGAAACGTTGTGATAATGAGAAAAAAGGACGAAGACACGAATCCGACTGTAAAAAATGTCAGCAATTTAAAAAGCTACTCACAATCTTTACAACACTAAAATCTTGGCACAGTCTCAAGTTTCCTCGCTTTGTCGAAAACACGGGAGAATTCTGGATGCGCACGATTGTCACTATCACGCACGGTTAACCCTTTGGGCTCTGCGTTTCTGAACAATTTTAAACGTTCTGCCTAACCTCCTAATTAGTATGTAATGTTTCACGGTAGATATATTAAAAAAAAGTTACAGATGTTTACCTACCGTTCAACCAGTGGCTGGGCATTAAGTCACTGTTCTCTACAACTGTTCAACTGCTGGCTGGACATTAGGTCATTTTTCACTATCACCGGAAAAACGGTGGTCAGGACTCAAAGGGTTATTATTTACAAAACTTCCCTGTGTCATTACGTCATTTTTCTCTATCACCGGTAAAACGGTGGTCAGGACTAAAAGGGCTATTATTTACAAAACTTTCCCTGAGTCATTACGTCATTTTTCTCTATCACCGGTAAAACTGGGGTCAGGGCTTGAAGTGTTATTATTTACAAAGCTTTCCTGTGTCATTACGTCATTTTTCTCTATCACCGGTAAAACGGTGGTTGTGTCTTCAAGGGTTATTATTTACAAAGCTTTCCTGTGTCATTACGTCATTTTTCTCTATCACCGGTAAAACTGTGGTCAATGCTCAAAGGGTTGTTATTTACAAAGCCTTCCTGTGTCATTACGTCATTTTTCTCTACCACTGGTAAAACGGTGGTTGTGTCTTCACATTACGTCATTTTTCTTTAGGGTTATTATTTACAAAACTTCCCTGTGTCTTTCCTGTGTTATTACGTCATTTTTACAAAGCTTTCTCTGTCACCACCGGTAAAACGGTTCAGGACTCAAAGGGTTATTATTACAAAACTTCCCTGTGTCATTACGTCATTTTCTCTATCAAAAACGGTTTCAGGACACAAAGGGTTATTTTTACAAACGTCATTTTTCCTATGACATTACGTCATTTTCTTTACCACCGGTAAAACTGGTGGTCTCAGGACTCAAAAGGGTTATCATTTTTCTCTACCACTTTGGTTTGTGTCAAAACTTCCCTGTGTTATTACGTCATTTTTCTCTATCACCGGTAAAACGGTGGTCAGGACTCAAAGGGTTGTTATTTACAAAGCTTTCCTCTGTCATTACGTCATTTTTCTCTATCACCGGTAAAACGGTGGTCAGGACTCAAAGGGTTATTATTTACAAAACTTCCCTGTGTCATTACGTCATTTTTCTCTATCACTGGTAAAACGGTGGTCAGGACACAAAGGGTTGTTATTTACAAAACTTCCCTGTTATTTATCAAAAAACTTTCCTCTGTCATTACGTCATTTTTCTCTATCACCGGTAAAACGGTGGTCAGGGCTTGAAGGTTTGTTATTTACAAAGCTTTCCTGTGTCATTACGTCATTTTTCTCTATCACTGATAAAACGGTGGTCAGGACTCAAAGGGTTATTATTTACAAAGCCTTTCTGTGTGGGGAGATACCATTTGTCAAATGGTATCTCCTCAATGACACAGCACTAATATCTCAGTGGGGAGGGGAACTGAATGGTAGAGTGAACGGATGTGTTCCCTAGAGGAGACTTTGAACGCCTATTGGGACTTCCCATCTGACATGAAGCTAAATCATTGCCGATCGGACCTTGAACAAACACCACTCACTATGAACGGATGTTTCCTCAAAGAGGCCCCTTCCTTGAACGCCGATTGGGACTTAAACTCACATCTCTAAAGATGTTGAAAAAATGTGCCCATTCCCTGTACGGTTCAAGTAAGTATCCGACTCCTTCTGCTGTCCTCTACATGTAAAAGAGTCAGATCAGGCCGAAAACGGCATACATTTGCCATATATGGACAGAACCTGCCTAGATTTAACTTTCCCGTTACGATAGTGTCCAAAAGATTTTCCGCGTCCTTTTGGGTGACAAATTATCTTCCACCCTACAAACTCTCAAGACTCTGACTGATCTATCACGATTCCTCTGGAAAGTGCTCAGAAGAACAAAATCTTCCTTCCAGTAGTTCTAACCTTCACGTCTAAGACGCGCCATATTACGCGCACTATTGTAAAAGACACTCAATTCCTTCGTATTCCAGTGGTGAGAATGTTCCTGCCACTCGAGAAGTTGCTCTTCAAGAACCAAGATTTGTGGAACCAACTCTCAAGACTATACTTCCCTGATCATAATATTCTTAACTTTATCTTCCCCCGCATATCAATATAAACTATGCCTCTTACTCTGTAAACTTTTACCTCGAATAGTTCTCGGGCCTTGTACAGAACGAATATTATTGTAAACAAAAAATCTCATAAGTCCGCCAAGTATTGACAAGAGTACAATATGAGAACCAGTAATAGAGAGAGCGAGATGATGTTTACCCGATCATTTCAATCTTAATCTCTTCAAGTCTAGGACTAACCGTTTATCTTCCCCCACCTATCCACATTAGCAGTGGCCTTTTACTCTGTACCTCTGTAACTTGAGGCAGAGCTAACAGACTCCCAAGAGGATGCTTCCCCGATAAATACAATCTTAACCTGTTCAAGTCTAGGTTTAACCGTTATCTTCCTCACATATCTCCATAAACTGTGCCTCTTACTCTGTATCCCTCTAACTCGAGGCAGAACAGACTCCCAAGAGAGTGCTTCCCCGATCACTACAATCTTAACTTGTTCAAGTCTGGGGTCAACCGTTATCTTCCTCGCATATCCTCATAAACTGAGCCTCTTACTCTGTCATCCTTCTGCTCGCGTTAGAACAAACAGACTCCCAAGAGGATGCTTCCCCGATCACTACAATCATAACCTGTTCAAGTCTAGAGTCAACTGTTATCTTCCTCGCATATCCTCATAAACTGAGCCTCTTACTCTGTCATCCTCCTGCTCGCGTTAGAACAAACAGACTCCCAAGAGGATGCTTCCCCGATCACTACAATCCTAACGTGTTCAAGTCTAGGGTCAACTGTTATCTTCCTCGCATATCCTCATAAACTGAGCCTCTTACTCTGTCATTCTCCTGCTCGCATTAGAACAAATAGACTCCCAAGAGGATGCTTCCCCGATCACTACAATCCTAACCTGTTCAAGTCTAGGGTCAACTGTTATCTTCCTCGCATATCCTCATAAACTGAGCCTCTTACTCTGTCATCCTCCTGCTCGCGTTAGAACAAACAGACTCCCAA